CTCCATCACACTTAATTACGTCTAACAATTTTGATATAACTCAAATTAAACTTGAATAGTCGAAAGATTCAAATATTCAGAAGAAGATTAAAGAAGTTATGCAAGATCTAACAAAACATCTTTATGTAGTTACAGACGGTTTATTATATAAATTGGTATTAATGAATGTTGCTAGTAATAAGAAGAAGAAAGTAATTTATTTACCTTCAGCCATGATCAATTCTCTCCTGCACTCATACCATAATAATCTGCTTAGTGATCATTTTGGCATTCAATGAACATATTTAAAAAATTAAAAATAAATTATGGTGGCCAAATATGAAACAATCAATTATTCAACATATTCCATCTTGCTTACCTTCTCAACAACATAATATTAGTCGTACAAAGAAACCAGATCGATTTAATCCAATTCCAACGCCAGAGGGACCATTTTAATTAATAGGTATTGATTATTGTGATCCGTTTAAACCAACACCTGTTGGTAATCAATATGTATTATGTATTACTGATCATTTTACAAGATGGATAACTGCCATAGCTTTATCTGATTGTTCAGCACAAACCACGGCCCAAACATTATTTAATAATTATATTTGTCAATATGGTGTACCATTAGCTATATTATCTGATCAAGGTACTCATTTTAAAAATCAGCTTATGGAGTCCATAGCAAAATTAATTGATTACAATCATATTTTTTCAAGTGTTTATCACCCACAATGTAATGAGATGATTGAACGTTTTAATGCGGCATTCGTACCTCAAATTGTCAAACTACAATATCTAGAAAATAACAATTGGGATGAATTCTTATCACTAGTGGTACTTGCTTACAACATCGGCATCCATGCAACGACTAATTATTCACCATTTCAACTACAGTTTGGTCAAGAATCACGTTTACCTACTGATGAACCTTCATTATCATTTGCTTTCAATAAACCAAATGATTATTATGTACGATTGGAAAAAAATCTGTTGATAATACAACAACACGCACGTGATAATATTATTCATCGACAACGACAATAAAAGATTAATTATGATAAACAACATCCAGATCCGCATTATGAAATCAATGATCCAGTACTGATTAAAATTCATGGAATAAAGAAAAAATTAGAACCAAAATATTCGATTACACCAAAAATAATTATTAGGAAATAACATCCAATTGATTGGATCAAAGATGAAAAAACACAGGTCGAATCCAGAGTACATGTTAATGATATTCGACCTATTCTTATTTTAAAATCAACATGATATATTATTGTTTAGTTATTTGCTAATGATCATTAAATGTTAATGTTATGTTATATTTATGGTGATTTGATGTTTGATCATCTTTGTTGTATGCGCAACGACTTAGTTGAACTAACATCGATTCGTTATGCTTGTGAACATATTGATATTTTAATTAGCGCGCATTAATTATCAATATAATAATTATTTGCGTATGGTTAGCATTAACAAATATTGGTTATTACAAATACAAACAAATTACACACAGAAAATCTTCTCTTTTGGAAGTGTTTCTGTTTTCAACAAACAAAGTTATTTATGTTTTAACTTTACACATATTACATATTTTATTAACATACTAAGGATATCTATGTATGCAACCTTGATAGGTTTATTTCTCAGGACGAATGATAAATTATATGATTTATTTGTTTACCTTATTTATATTATTCTTTTTTTCTCTTCACTTATTTTATATCAATTTGTTTAATCTTCTTTTCTTTAGTCATTATAATGTCAGATAAATTTGTTCCATATCATTTATGTGATATTAACAATCCTCCAGCTCATCATGATGACAATAAAAAATCGAATTGGATGCGTACTGCAAAAAAAGGCGAAGAAAAATTATCCATACCAACAACAATATCCAGCATTTGATATACCAACATCACTTTATGAAATTATATATATGTAAACAAATATACAACAACTGAAACAATGCAAAAATTAATTAATTATGCACGAAATTGTAATGAATTTACATTTGATACTGAAGGTGAAAAATCAACCAAATAATTAGCATTAATTCAAATTCAAACAATACCTCAACAAT